GAGAAGAGAAAGCTAGGCTTTCCATGGGAAGCAACTGGCCAATCCATGAACCAGGATATAAATATCTATCCAACATAAAATCTACTTTAGTAAATTATCTAAATATACATCAGCCATATGTGGACCAAATTATTGAAGGATCACTAAAGTCATGCAATTGATTCTTAAATCACTACTTTAAATCCTTTCTGGAACAAGGCAAGGGATAGGCTTAATAGTACAGTGGACCCTGGAGTTACAACTAGCCTGGCATATGAACAACTTGGGTTACAACCAGAATTTTAATTTTAATTTATGACCAACATCTTGAGCCAAATGCCAGCTGCTTGTGCTTTGAGATGGTGTCAAATACAGATTTAACCCTTAAAGAATTCTGGAAGGAATAGTACATCTTTTCCTTTGTGGGGTTAATTGAGAAATCCTGGAGCAATGTTTCTCTAAGGACAGAGATCTGCCTGTATACAGGAGAGGGACTTTGAAGGCTGTACAGAGGAGCCTGAGCCTTCAATTGACAGACTTGAGTTACAGCCAGCCCTCGTGAACGAATTGAGTTTGTAAGTCAAGGGTCCACTGTATGACTAAAAAATCATTGCTGATCCCTCTGAAGTAGTTACTGTGGTTCTCTGTATACCTACTTCAAAAATACTCAGAACATCTTAAAGACAAACATTTATTTTTTGCAGGCCTTTTGATAAGTGGTTTTATAAGGGTAGATATGACTTTTAGGAATAGTCACAAGCCAGCTGGATCTAAGTCTGATAAATCCATTTGGTGATCAGTTGGGTAACACTGGCTTTCATGAATGACATGGAATTTTGTTCAGCATAGGAAAGGAGACTCAAGTCAGCCCTTGCCCTTCAGAAGCTGTTGTTCAGTTGGAAAGGAAGTCACACAAAAGACAATTTCAAAACAATCTCATAAGCTCTGTACAGGGAGCATAAAAAGATTTCTATGTTTTGGAGTAATGGAAATGTTCTAAAGCTTAGTGACTGTCATGGCTGAACACTTGGTAAGTTTACTAAAAATCATTAATTATACCCATTGCAACAAGATAAAAATGAAAGTACAAGTTTATGAGATCTTAGGTGAACTTGGCAGGACTTGGTAGCTTGTGGGATGTGGGTGAGGGGGGAGAAGAAGGAGTCAGGGAAGGCTTAGTTCATAGAGGGGATGGCAGGGGTGGACATGGAATATACAACTGTGTACAGGTTGGGTTTGAGATGCCTCTATGACATCTAGATGGAAATATCCACAAGCAGGTATGGATATGATTCTGACATTTTTGGGATACCCCCAGTTACAATTCATTAGAATAAAGCAGTGGTTAAAAACATAAGAGCAGACAAAATGAGTCATGGGAACCTTGTGAATAAGAAGAAAACTGGGCTGAGGATGGAAGCCTGAGGGAATTGGCATTTAAGGGCAGGGAGAAGAAAAAGATGTGGAAAAGAAAATGGAGAAAAATGAAGGGAACAGGAGGAAAGTTAGGAGGGTGTGATGTCAGAAAACCAAAGGAGGAACGTTTCAAGTGGACAAGAAATAGCATCAAATGTAGATAAAGCTTCAAGAAACAAAGACTAGAAAGGTGTCCACTGGATTTGGCTACTGACCTTAGAAGTGGTTAGGAAATAAATGAGAGGGCAAGAAGTAGAGCTAAAAATGAAGCAGACTCTTTGGGGACAACTGGGATGAAACAGGAAGGAGCCAGGGTAGCTGCTGGATGAGGTCACACATGCCATAGAAGGTGTTGTCCTTTGGTTTCTTTGGAGGGAGACTAAAGCAAGTTTGTAGACTGAGCCAATAAGAAGGGAAGGCCAAAGACACAGACAAGAGACCCATGGATAGGAGAGGCTGGAGAGCAGAGGGTACAGGCCAAGATCTCAGCTGGTCTCTGGAAGGAGGAGGGTCACTCCATCCTCTGAGACTGGAGTGCTGGAAGGATGTATACCTTGGGTGGAAGGGGAGGAAGTTGAATGGGTTCCCACCTACTGGCTTTGGGCTTTTGTTTTGTTTAATATGTGTGTGAAACAAGGTGGGGGAGAATGTTGGAAATATGGGAGTTGGACGTTTGAGGAGTGAAAAGGTTTAAAATTGTGATAATAATAGAAAGAGGTGATGGACAAGTGTGTTGAAGTGTTATTCCTTATTCTTTTCCTTCCCGCACTCTCACTCTCCATTAGTTGGCAAGATGTCTGTCCTGCTTCTATTTGCTGGGTCAGGCCAGCAAATGTGTTACCTCTAGGGCTAAAATCTGGCCCAAGTCACCAAAATGTCTCTCCAAAATTTCCATCAGCCTCTTTACAATTTTTTCTGCTTTTTCTCTTGCTCTTGCCAGTTCTTTTCCCACACAGAAGCCAAGGTGATCTTTTAAAAATATAAGTCAAGCTGGGTACGGTGGCACATGCCAATAATCCCGCTTACTTGAGAGGCTGAGGCAGGAGGATCAAGAGTTTGAGACCAGGCTGAGCAACTTAGTGAGATCCTGTCTCAGAATTTAAAGGGGCCGGGGGTTCTGGGAGTGTAGCTCAGTAATAAAGTGCTTGCCTAGTATATGTGAGGCCCTAGGTTCAATTCCCAGTACTGGGGAAAAAAATAAAGCAACTCAAATCGTTCTGCTTCCCTGCTTAAAACCATCCAATCATTCTGCGGTATCAATCAAATCTAAATGCCTATGGAATTTTTCCACCTCCTCCAGTTCTATACTTCCCTTTGATGAATGTCTTTCAGCTACTCTGGGCTTCTGTTTCCTCCATTGTTCCAGGCTCATTCCAGCCTCAGGGCCTGAACTTGCCTTCCTTCCGCTTGGAATGCTCAGGTGGGCTCTTTCTCATTCACTTCCACAGACAAATGTCACTTCCTCAAAGAGGCCTTCCCTGCCTATCTGAATGAGCATCACCGCCACCCTCATTACCTGTTTTATTTTCCTCATGTATTTACAGTAATGATGTTAGCTTTTTGTCATGGTAACAAAAACCTGAGATAAATCAACTTACAAGAACAGCTGGGCCAGGGATTTAGTTCAGTGGTTTCCCCGCCTGCTGCGCAAGTGCAAGGACCCGAAGAGCCTGTGGAGACACTGTACATTATAGTGGCATGCATGGCGGAGGCAGTCCATTTACCTTACGGCAGCTGGGAAGTAAAAGAGAAGGGTGTCCCCTTTGAGGGCACACCCCCAGTAACCTAAGACCTCCCACTAGGCCCTACCTCTTAGAGGTTCCAGCACCAGTAGTAACAAGCTGGGGACTGAGTCTTTTACACTTGGGCCTTTGGGAAATATTCCAGATCTAAACTATGGCAGTAAGTAAAACTATCTGTTACATTTATTTACTTGTGTATGTTGTTTTCTTCTCAAGATTAGACTAAGAACTCTGGAAGAGTAGGGACCTTATCTGGCAAATAGTAGGTTCTTAATAAATATTGATTGAATGAAGGGAAAGGTATATGGAAAGTCCAGCTGGGATTAGAAAATAACTGCAGTGGCTCTGTGGGAAACAGTGAGTTCTGTCTTTTCTACCAAACAGGAGTGACTCCATCTTGGACTCTAGCCCATTCTAGATTGCCCTTCCTGAACACACCAAGTTACAGAAAATGCCCGCTCAGTTCCAGTCCTGGGAACACAGCTACAAACCAAAGGTAGCTTACCACAGGCCAAGGATTTTCTGTTCTCCACAACCCCCTCTGCTCTGCTCTCCCTTACCCTCAGCAGCCCCTCAGATTCCCCTTGCACTATCTGAGTTAACCAATTGGGATAGAGTTTGAACCTCCAAACAAGCCAATGGGAAAGAGGTCTGCTGTTCTTCCTGCATAAGGGATAAAAGGGGCAACTCTTTGTCCTGTGCACCTGATACCTCATTGCTGGGGTGAGCTTGCACCTCTTTGCAGGTCTCATTTCCAACAACTCCAAACCACATGGTTGTGTGATTTTCTTCAGCAGGGACCATAAAACAATGAGACTGATTTTCTTATGTGTCTGTTCTAGAGACCATTTCAAACAATTATTTCCAAACACAAGCTGGGTAGCAGGGGCATCTTTATGAAAAGTAGATGTACTACCAGAGTGACCAGTTCCAGTGTTTACATTCTTATTTGTTTCCCAGAAACTCTCCAGATTTTATAGTCTTCTTGTATGTGGGTTGGTAAGTTGTGGGAGGAAATTGCTGACTCCATTTCCAGCCCCAAAGCAAAGCTGTATTATACAGGTGAAATCAGGTTACTGGATAGGTCTTGTTTCCTTGGTGACCCAGGAGGTTTGGTTATATTTGAAATTGCTAAGGAGGAGAAAAACCTGATAAGGCAGATCTCTGTTCTCCTCAGGGAAGGAGTGCTTTTCAGTCCTCCACCAAAGCTGAAGCCAGGCCTCTCTGATTGGCAAAGGCTGACCTCTGGCAAGATGGGATGAGTGACACCTTCTAACTGTTCCCAGAATACTGCTACCCAGTTTGGTGAGTTTGTCCTAGGCCAGCCCGGGGTAATTGCATCATGGCCCCTCAGGCTCTCTGTCTGCTTTGTTTTTGCATGTAAACACCGTAACCACAGAGACCAATAGTTAGCTTATTGTAGAATGTGCTAACCACCTTTCTTCTGGCCCCCATGACAACAGAAGAGTATGTTATTTTATAAATGATAGAGTGGCCCAATCAACCCCTTAAAGTCTTTTTTTTTTTTTTTGTCTCAGTTGGTTTGTCAAATTTGAACCCCTGGGTCATTTTTTGCCAAGTGCTGCGTACCAAATGCTGCAGTAAATGCTTAAAAAATGTTTCTCTCACTTCATTTTTGTGACAGAATCATGAAATGGGTACTCTTATTATCCCCAACTTACAGACAAGGAAATTAAGATTTAGAAAGATGAAGTGGCTTTCCATGGTCATCTAGTTAGTAACTAGGGGTGAGTCAGGGATTTTAGAAAACAGCTACTGTTTAACACATACTGATACTGTATTCTGAATTATCTCTAACACTGGCAAAGAAGGTGGAAGGTAATCCTTGCCTTCTGCAGTTACCTGATACTCGAAGTCCACTTTATGCTGCATGTCCCGTAGATACTGAATGTCACTGAAGAACTTCTGCCTGTCCCTTGCTTCATGGAGCATGATTCTTAATCCCTGACCTGCATATGAAAGAGAAATAAATGTGCTGTGACAGACTCTTTTGTGGCTTTGTCATATTTGGATTTATTTTAGTATACTTGCTTTTATTCTCTTATTAATCTAATTGCCATTGTTTGAAAGGAACAGATGCTCCTTTCAGACTGAAGAGCTTCTTGTGTTGATGTTGAAGCCCCTCAAGCCCTCCTGTTCCAGGCATAAATAATCCAATCATAGTTATCAGCTGGCTTCAGTGATCCTGCCCTGGTAATTCACAGGAAGTCAGGTTGACAGACACCTGATTCAGAAGAAATTCTACAACATGACAAAAAAGAAAATCTGAGAGCCTTGCTAAATTAGCAGTGACCAAAGTTAGAAGCCCTAGGAAGCTTAAAATCACCTATACAACAATTATTGCACCCTTATTTCAACCCAGGCACTGTGCTAGGCACTGGGGTACAGCAACTATCAAGTTAGACATGTTCCCTGCCCTGCATCTCTTACAGTCTAGGGTAGGAAACTGACATTGAACATGTGAACCCTAAGTGCCAATAAGTGCTATGGAACAGAAGTCTGGTGTTCTTAGAGTGATGGAAAAGAAGGGAATAAGCTGGTCTGGAGGGGTCACGTGAGGCTTTCCTTATGAAACAACACTGGGTTTAACAAGGAGTGAGTGAGGCAAGATGTGGAACAATGAGGGTAGGTATAGAGGGTCCAGGGCATGAAAGGGCAGGTACAGACGATGAACAGGGCAGGGGTAGGGCAGCTGGAGCAGAGATGGGTGTGAGGAGGCACATCAGATGCGCTGAGGAGTTGGCAGGGCCAGCTCATATGGAGCCTTGAAGGTCATCATTGGAAGAGTCATATGAAGTAATGAAAGGTTCCAAGCTGGAGAATAAATTATTAGATTATGTTTTTAAAAGACACTCCCATTTGTAGTATAGAGAACAGATGGTGGGAGGAAGATGTAGAGTAAAATATGAAAAGGGAAGACCACTGAAATATGTGATAATAATCTAGAAGAGATGAGATGTTGGCTGGACTTAGTAGCAAAGGTGGGGGAAGAAGGAGGAAGAAAAGAAGAATGGGAAAGGAAGGGAAGGGTAACCACAGCTGCTATTTACCAGCCCCTGGAAGTGCCACCCACTCTTCTAAGCATTTACACATATTAATTCATTTAATCTTCCCAACAATGCTCTGAGGCAGACCTTATATCTCTATTTTGCAGGTGAGGAAAATGAGGCACATAGGAATTAAATAACTTGCACGAGGCTACAGAACTAATAAGTGGAAGAACAGGGATTAGAATCCAGGGAGGTTCCAATGCTCACAACATTCACCAAGATGAATTCAAGGGATGCTCAAGAGAGAAAATAACCAGTTCTCCAAAATTCTAGGGATAGGGTAGAAAAGGAGTATCAAGGAAGCTGCCTAGGTTACTGGATCGAGCAGCTGGCTGGTTGATGCCAACACTACCTTTAGAAAACAGAAAAGGAGCAGGTTATGAGAAAAGAATGTGGAATTTGAAGTGTCTAGGGTACTGCAAATGCAGGTGTTAAGCAAGTAGATAGGTGCAGGGCTTTCAAGCTGATCAGACAGATAAAGATTTGGACACTGCTGGCATTTGGGTGACAAATGGGATTAAAGAAGAATGGATACTGAAAAGAGAAAATGCATACAGGACAAAACCCAGGCAAACACTAAAATTTAAGGAACAGGCAGTCAAAGAGAAGCCCTGCAAAGAGGCAGGAGGAAAAGCAGGTGGATGCTGTTTCATAAATGCCGAGAGAGAATTTCAAGAAGGCAATTAATAACCCCGGTGAGAGCAGTTACTGTAGTGATAGAGCTGAAAACAGATTGCAGCAGACTATGTAAATAGGAGGGAAAGAAGTAGAGATGATGCTTTCAAGAAGTTTGCCTCTGGTTGGTGTGGCCTAAGTTTATGACTATAATATTAAAGCTCACAAAGGTACAAAATAGCACTGTTAATGCGATGGCCAGATCTCTTCTATAGGTCATCAAAGCCCCCACATGACTTTTGCTTATTGCCCAGTGAAGCTCTTTATATCTATGCATATTTTTAATGACTACAGTGTGAGAGAAGCTTCCCTAGGCTCCGGGAGAAACAGCAGGTTAAGACAGACACCATAACACTCAGGTGTATTGTACTCTTTGACTTTCCTTCCTTTCTCCAGTTTATTCAGTTGTGTGGACATTGGCAAAGTCAGTTTGTTCCTGACTCATGGTGACCTATTGTCTGGTCTGGTAGTTATGAAATCTTGCAAGGTTTATCATCTGCCTCTCAGCAATAGGGACAACTTTTGCTGGTCCCTTGTGAGCTAGTCTCTCTCAATTATAGAAAGATGGTCTTTGAAAGACAGAATCTGAAACTACAACCCAATGTACAGTTGCACAGTCTATAAACCAAACCTAGATCTTCTCTCTTGGCATTTTTTTTGGGTGGGGGACAAAGTTTTATTAGAGATAGAAAAGGAAACAGGTTTTGCAGAGTGGGTATGCTCCAAGTAAAAGTAGGAAAAGGAGTACTTCTTATAGCATGAGGATAGGCCGCCATGCAAGAGGGAACACAGTGGCTTGTTAACATCCAATTGACTTGGACAACAATACTGTAGCTGATTTGCTTGATATTAACAGTCACATAACTGTTGCTGATATGGGGAAATAAATGTAACTCCCAACCTGCTAGGTGTTAGATACATCAAGTTTGTGTTCCCCCAAATGGAAGAATGAATTGCAAGGAAAAACTAAATTAAAAGCAGGAAAATTTATTGGGGAATAGGAATAGCTCCTGAGAGACAGGAGGGGTCCCAAATAGATGGCCCTCTTGGCATTTTAATAGTCACTTACAGGACATATTTTTAAAGATTATCTTTAATTTTTCGTATCAATTTGTATCTGCCAAAGATGAGGTTCTGGTCTCACCTTTTTCAGCAAATGATGGTGTTAAAAACAGAAAGATGAACCCCTGTTGCTACTGTTGGAAAGAGAAGTCTGTCTGAAAATTAATCAGGCAGAGAACATAAGGATTCATAATGAGACTATGTTAATGGTCACTAAAGGGGCACATTCTAGAATCTACTCGGATGATACATTTTGGTTACAAAAAGTTACTATAGCAAAACCAGTTAATCTACATGGGGTTAGCTCAGTGGTATTTTAAGAAGGCTTCTAAATCAGGAGGTATGAAATAATTTTGCCCAAAGAGCTAGGAAATAACTATTTGAGTAACTAGCTAGGTTACTTCTGACTTCACAATCACCTACCAAATAAAGGACTTCAAATTGCCTACAAAAGTCTCTTCTCTCTCCCCATAAACTCTCCATTACATTATCTTTTACTATAAAATAAATGTTTTGAGGCATCATGGTGCCATCTGTAATTTCCTATTTAATACATCAACACTTTGTATGACTAGAGGAAACAGACTACTAGAGATAGACTAAGGAGATGTTACGTTATCTCAGGTTAGACAAATAGTGCTCTAAGACTGAAAACCTGACCAGGTTGACCAAGAAACAGAAAGAACTGCATGGAAATAAATCCACACGAGATAATGCTTACGTCCTGGAGCTCGTCTTTGTGGGCCTACTCAACCAGATGGCCATTTTAAGCCAAGTTTTTCCTCAGCAAATACAGAACGGGTGGGAGGAGTGGAGCAGAAGCAAGGCACTTATTTCTAAAATAGCATTCTGTATTGTCTTCCATGGCTTACCTTTGAACAGCTTCTTATTTTAAAACCTACGTGTAGTCATGCACACTTGTTTTAAGTTTGTACTGTGCCAAATTTGTGCTTTAGAAACCAGTATTAAGAAGTCATATGAAGTAGGGGGGAAATGGAAGGGAGGAGGCATGTGGGAAAAGGAGAACGGAGTCTGCTTTGCTGAACACTACAGCAAATGATTCTTCTTGGCCTCAAAATTCTACACATCTGTGAAATTTCAATTAAGAATATTCTAAGAACTTTGTGACATATGAATTTCTCCCTAGGATAAATTTCCAATGAATTCAAACCAAGTTACCCTAAGGAGAAGAGAATTTGATTGCAGAATATATTCATTTCTCCTTAAAAAAAAAAGTGTGTGTGTGTGTGTGTGTGTGTGTGTGTGTGTACTTTCTTGTTTGGTGGCCATATTTATCCAAAAGCTGACTTGAAATGTCTTTTAAATAAGCCATTATTTTGCTTTCTTATTATGTTCTGATATTAGAAATATCACTAGTGATGTTTTGTTGGTTTGGACAATTAAGCAAAATGTAATTTTAATCTCTTTTTAAGGCTGAAAGTTCTTCTGAAACAAAATTTAAATGGCTGTGTTAATACCTGACAATTAGATTTATAAATTCCCCCTTTTCCACAACTGGATGCCTGGAAGAAGGATTTCAACCTTTTCCACAATTAATTTGTAATGACAAGGATTACAGGATTTGTTTCAATGTGGACTTTGAAAAATAACCTTAGGGCCAGTGAATTAGCTCAGTGGTTCTGCTGCCTGCCTTGCAAGTTGCAAGGTCCCGAGTTAGATACCTGAAAACCTTAGAATTTTTGAACCTTAGCTTATAAAAGTCTTGATTTGGGCCCAATTTTCCTAACACTCCCCGAATACTATGACTGAAGATCAAGAGGAGAAACTGTTGGAGGAGGTGGGAGATCTTTTGACCCTTCCAGCCAATTTGGCTTAGGAAATCAAGGTGGCAGGTGGCAGGTGCCAGGAGAATACTGGGAGAGGCTTCGGGCTTGTTTATCTTGGCGACTCTTAATTTTGTTCTGAGAATAACAGGGATGGATGATCACATAGTGATTATTAAACTCAGGGGGAGAAGACAGACCCAATGTATAACTGGAAATCTTTGGGAGGAAATGCCACAGGTTTAACAATCAATTTGATGATATCATTGTTACTAACAACGCCACCAATATACCTTTCCTGGAGTTGCAGACCAATTAAGTCTGTGCATGCAAAGGTATGAGGCGGCTGCCAGCCTGCAAATGGTCAGACTTCCCAAA